AAAAATTTTTAAATCTAATCTTTAAAATTTTAATACATAAAAGTTTATTAATATTTTGAAAAAATTTTTATAATAAAATTTATAAAATATGTTTTTAAAAATATATTTCATAAGCAAAGTATATCTCATATCATTAATAAATTATAATTTTATTTAAAAAATACTAAATACAATTTAATTTTTCAGGCAAATTTGTCTAGAAAATGGTTTAAGGAATAATTAAATTTATAATTTTAATTTTTTAAAATTATAAAAAAATATTTCAATAAAATATTTGTTATATTTGTTCAATTTGTTTAAAAAATATTTTAACTTATAGAAATATTACAAATGATCTTAAATTTAAAATTAATAATTGTTCTGATAAAAAATATTATCAAGAACTTAAACTTAATAATAAATTATGTTTTAGTTGTTATATAAAAATTATAAATTCTTATTAATGTCAAATTTCTATAATAAATAAAAACAATTTAATTAAAACTAGTAAATCTAATATTTTTACAAATTTAATAAAAACTAGCAGATCTAATACTTCTACAAATTTAATAGAAATTAATAATTTAATTGAAGTTAGTAAATTTAATAGTTCTATAAATTTAAAAAATTTAGTAATTTAGTAATTTTAATAAAATTAATTGAAACTTAAAAAGAAGAATTAATTTATAAAGATAAATTAAATAAAATTAATTACCAAATTACAAATATTAATATTAATATAACTAATAATATAATTTTAATAAATAAAGAAAATTTTAATCAATTAATTAAATTAATTCTTCAAAAGTTTAAAAATAGAAACTCTAAATAGTCAAAATAATTAAAATAATTTAATATTAACTAATTTAAATAATTTGGATAATTATAATATTTTAATTATTTTTAATATTAATTTTAATTATTCTAAATATTAAATTTTTTTTTTAAAGTTCAAAATTATTTATTTTTTTAGCAAATAGAATTATTAACAACTGTATTATTAAAATTTTATAATAAAAATAATGAATATTTATTAGATTCAAAACAATTTTAACAAATAATTAAACAAAATAAACCAAAATTAAAAGAATTTTTTAATGAAATAATTAATGCACTAATTTCAAAAAGATGATTTAACAAAAATAAAGAAAAAGCAAAAAATAAAGTAGTTGTATATTGTTATTTTTTAATAGAAATAAGAAGTAAATTTGCTAATAATTTTAAATTAGATCTTGAACTTTATTTACATTTATTAGAAATAACTAGATCTGGAATTAATACTTTATCTGATGCTGGTCTTAGTGTTTATACAAAAACAATTTAAAAATATAAATAAGATATTACAAAAGCTTATTTAATAAAACTTAAGAAATATTTTAATTTAAATATAAGTTATTTTTAATTTTTATAGTGTTACTATTTTTACTCTCTACTTTGCTAATGCTACTTCTCATGAGTTTCTGACTCTATCTAACCCTCTACTAACTCTAATTAGATGAATATGTTACATAAATAAAGGTCACATAACTAGAATTTTTATAAACTGTAACTTTAAAGTTACACAACTTGTATTTGTATAACATATTATTTAGGATTCAGAAATCAGCTAGATCATATGAAAAGTGGCATTAGCAAAGTAAAGAGTAGAAATAGTCATTCTCTTTTTATATTATTTAATTTTATATTTTAAATTTATTAATTAAAATATTATAATATTATAATTATTATTTAGTTAAATGCTTTTTATTGTTTTAATATTGATAATTTTTATAATATTCATAGAATTTGAAGACCAAATACAACAACACTTAATTTAGTAAATTATATATCAACATGTATAACAAAACTAATTATTAATACATTTTTAGCTTTAGCAATTATAAATAATAATTTATATAATAATTGCTTATTTTTTAATTCAAATAATATTGATGATAAACTAATTATAAAATATTTATATTCTAATATTCAAGGTATATTTGATATTAGTTATAATGTACAAAAACTTAATTAGATAAATAATAATATTTAATTTAAAAATTAAAATCAAATTAAATTACTTACAATTCATATATATAATAATATTATAAATAAGTATAAAGAAAAAGATCAATAAAAAATCTTTAAATAATTGAAGTACAAAAACAAAATCTATATTCAACAAATGATTATTTAGATGCATTATAAATAATTATTTTAATAAAATCATTACAACAATATCTTTAAAATTATATTATACTAATAATTGCAGATTGGCTAGAACAATATTTTATTCAAGAGGATGGCAATCCTAGTGTAGTGGTTGGATTGTCATCCTCCAAGTGGCAGGTCTAAG